TTTTTAAGGGACATTACCAAAGTATTATGCTGGGACCACTCAGTCTTTGTGATTCAGATTCTTCGCTTATGAAGTTCCCCTTATGGATTGATTGCCTTTTGCCCTATGCCCACACTCCTGCCTTCTCGACCGGGTCGCCGAGTGCTAATTTGCTTCATTTATCTTTCCTGGTTTCGGACGGACAACTGCCGTTCTCTTCCTTCTCCCCGACTGTCTGATCCCAATATGCACTACAATTACTCTACGTGACTCTTGGGCGCTTAATTGCAGCCAGCAGACTGGATGGTTCGAGTTCTGGTTCTACGTTCTGGGTTTCCACTCTTTCTCTCCCGTTGTTTTTTTTAATTCTGCGAGTCTGTCGGCTGCCCCATAAATCTCACGGGCCTCCGATTGCAAAAGAGTGTCCAGTTCTAAGCGCTGGACATAATAGATAACCCCGTAGTAGAGGCTACACAGATCTCGGGTTTTTGTGGAGAGGTTTTCCTTCGCTTTCGCCCAGCTGTCGGCGATCGTGTGACTGGGGCGAACGGGAAAGCTAATGTCTTGACCACCACCACTGACCGAGATCATAATTCAGCCGGGGAAACCTAAGACAAATCGCATGTGTAAATCGCTTTGAAGTGGGTCGTGGGCATAAATCAAATCGTTGGGTCACTTTGGCTATGCCTCGGTGGGTTGTTTTCTTTGTTGCATGCAGCACGCCAGTTGTAAGTTGCAAGTCGCGATTTGTAAGTTGCCACATGACCCACTTGCGGAATCTTATTTACCTGGGTGTGTTCGCGATCTCGGTCCGTTACTTTTCACACCCAAACTGGTTGGTAATGCGAAAAGTAGTGACAATTGTCGCTGGCATTATAACGGGGAGGGGGTTACACAGAGAAAAAAACGACTTTTAACTTGTAATAGTCCAGAAAAAAGTATTACATGATAATAAAATTAAAATATCTTTAATCTGAGTGTATTAAAATCGTTAGTATTATATTCTAGGGGACTTTTCTAGATAGCATCTTAAGCTAAAAGTAGGTTGTAATGTTAGAAAACTTGGTGAAGTAAATGGTTTATAGCCTACTTATATTTTATCATGCGGACAAAAAACAGTCCATATTGTTAAAATATATTAAATAATTCATCGGAATTAAAAAAGCCATATAATTATTAAATACCAGATTGAGATTATTTGTTAGATCTTTGTCTTTATAGTTTTTTAAGTGCCAGCATTTTGTTTTTAATAAGAAAAATCCAACAATATGTAAAGATTTTTATATCAATACACATGTGTTGATACCCCTACTATTGTAAAATTAAAATACATTAAAAAACTTTATTTTCTCTGTGCAGTCACTTGGAAAATGCACAAACAATGAGACCCGCCAGCATAATAATTGATCGCTGCGGCGAGCAACTTTCCAACTGGTTTTATTCCTGGCCCAGTGTACTATCAACGATTTTCCTTAATTTCCCACCAGTTTTATCCAGTTTTTATTGCCCGCCGTCTGGCGTTCATTGTCTAAGATTTCCTCCCATTTCGTTTTGAATTTTTTATTATTACTTTCCATTCGCCGCGAACAAAAGAGTTTTCTGAGCCGAAAGTTTTCCATTTTCCCCTTGGACTCGTCGAGAGTTTTTGGATGAATTATGGTCTCGGGGAGTGGTGACCCCGACCCCGGCTTGTTCTTGTTCCTCTTGCCCCGGTGGTTGGTCGATTCGGCCCTTCTGCGGCTTCATTTCATATGCATTTCGATGTGAATGGACTCTATTAATGCGTAATGCGATATCTGCGGCGCATGGAAAATCAAATGAAGTGAGCTGGTCAGTGTGAGAGGCAGCCGTTTTGCTCCGCCTGTCGCAGCCCATGATGTTGATGTATCTTTGTATCTTTGCATCTCTGAAGGCTGGACCCTCTGCATCTGTATCTTTTTGTAATTTTGTGTAGATCGCAGCGCACTAAGCTGACAGCATCTGGTCAAAAACTGACGGGGCAAACTATTTCTGGCATATTGCAGTTCGCGTTTAATTCGGCTGATTACATGCGATGGTCCACTTTTGTGGTGTTTCGTGGGCTGGGTGTTTGTCAGCTGCCCAAATATTTCGCCCTCGACTGTCAAACACCCCGCATTGCATCACCCACTATTGCACAGAAAACAAATTGTAATTTGTACAGAAACCTAAATAGATGTTAGAAAATAAGTTAAATTTTGTTTACAAAATTTCTAATATAAATATTTTGGAAAAATTATTTATTATTTAAAAAATCCTAAGTCTAAGCAATATAACTTGTGTATTTTACCATTAATTTATTTTTTATATATCTAATCTATTTCATTTAATTATGTTTATTTTTAAATTGAATAAAACTTTTTTTACACAACTGTAATACAAATTTAATAAGCCCTAACTTTTTGAACTATCTGTGAATACCTTTTATAAACCTTTTCCATACTATGCCTAAAGATATTAATGAATATAATGTAGTATACATTTAAGTTAAGTAAGTATAAATGAACTATATTATTTTAGATATAATCTAAATGTTTTTCTAAATTTCTTAAACCTGTTTAAATATTTTTTTGGACATGGAAAGTAACTATATTTTCTTTGTGTGTCCTCAGAGTTAGACTCCCTCGTTCGCTCGTGTCTTGTATCTTGGCCCTTTTGTCTGTCAGCGGCATTTTGTTTATTTTTATCTGGTGCTATTTCAGTTCGGTTTTCCTCTTGCATTTCCATTAATTTTTGTGCGCGGCTGCGCGTTTTATTTGGTTTGGTTTTGGTTTGCATTTGCAAGTCAGCCAGGCGACTGCGACTACGGTGAAACATAAATAAATATTTACCACACCCGTACCCGTATCTGTATCCGTACATTTATTTCATCTCTGTCAGCGATCACGGCTGGCTTCCTGTCTAAATAATTGCGCATCCAACAGATGGAAAAGGAAATGCACGCAGGGCGATAAAATTCAGAAATAAAGTACTCCAAGAAATGCACTTTGTCTAGATGAATGCATTGCTATTTATAAATTATAACGCTCTATATACAACTTTAAATTAGAACTTAACTGGGTAGTTTACTAGTATTTAAAAGTCTGAAAAGTAAAATAAATAAACTTAAACCATCACTCTTTATATATTTTACATTGTGGTCTGCGACTTGACTTTTGTTTACACATAATTATAGATTTATTTATAGACTTGTTTGTTTATCAAGGTTTTAGACCACAGTGAGGTTTGTATATGTTTCCATTATTAACTTAGAGGTCATTTTTAAAAACTTTGGAGAAAAAGGTTTTTTTTATTAAATAATTTATATGATAGTTAGCTACATAACTATCAAAAATCATTGGACTTTATTTTTTAATCGAAAGCCTTATGTGGAAGTATATAACTCAACCTCATAATATCTGGTTACATTCCCACACTTACAAATTCGCCGCAAATTGCCTTGTGGATTATTAATAGACATGCCAAGATTTTTCAATTAACGAAGCCATTATGCAATCCATTGAGTTGTATCCACGAGTTCGATGTTTGCCCTAGTTACTGGACATATGGCCACGCATATGAATATTTGTGAATATCAATTTGTGGGGAAAAAACATACACTGAAACTAAAACTAATATAAATATATTTTAGGTATGTATCAATTTGATAAAATATTTTTTTAATTAGTATAGGATGTTACAATATATTTATATACAAAGGGGTAATTGATTTCTAGAAAGCAAAAATAAATCCCTGAAGATATCGTTTTGATCTCTGATCATAATTTTTCTGTGTAAAATCGCTTGATGATCCCTGGAACGTGTGCTGTGGGCATATTATCGAATATATCCCAGACTACTGGGCGTAATGGTGTCGAGTGCCTCTGGGTGTCTGTCTTTGGGTCTGTGGCTCGAATACGTATAGGTTCCTCGCTAATCGACCGATTCTCCTACCGTTAAGTGGTGCTAAGTGCCACACAACGAAATCGGAGTCCAAAACAAATCGGAGGCTTATTAATGAGCCGGTTTTCAGCTCTCCGCTCCACTCGCATAATTAATCAGCTCAGCTATCTGACGAAATCCGCTGAATCTGCATTTGAATGATTCACACATGGGATGGTATGGTATGGTATGGTATGAGATGGGTAAAAGTCTTCGCAGATGAGAAATTTAATCAGCGGGTTCGATTTCCGCTGGCATCATAAACATAAACGACTTTTCTGGGGTATTTTATAGCATATATTAGCAGCTGAATCGATGACGTTTTCCAATCATGCGGGCCTCTCGATGAAACCCTCTTGTCATGGTTTTTCGTCATATTGCGAGTGGATTTTTTACCCCCGAATTCGATGTGCTCGTTGATTGATCTATGGGGGCGGTCGGTCCATTAAGCATTAATTGAGCGGACTTTGTGACAAATGCACTTTATATTAGGGATAAGTCTACCAACAGATGGTGTGTAGAAATATTGATATGTTATTAATTAAAATTAATTTATTACTAAGTTAATAAGATTTAAGATGTACTGCCCTTTAGGAATATCAAAAATTGTGTTCCAGATAGACACCCTTTAAAAATATATATTATCCAAATACTGACATGCAATTTTTGAAGTGGAAAATTAAATAAACTGTATAATATGATTCACTAAGATAATGATAAAATTAAATACATATAAATATGTTTAATGAACTTTATTTATATGTATTATAAAAATAATTATTCTAATAAGTGATTTATAAAAATGTATTTAAATCAAACAGTCAATAGAGGGAACATTTTATGAATATACTTTTAAAGATGTTAATTATTAACAAGTTTATTAATTTTATTAGCAACTACAAAAGTTTCTTTCATACATTCATTCCTTTTTTTTGTATAATTTCATCCCTCCATGAAATTCAAATAGTTAACATTGCGCATAACAGCACTTGGCTAACATAACAGCACCCGATTAACATAACGTGACAAAACGTAACGTAACATGCACCAACGTAAGAAACAGCTGTTTGCCATTGTTGTGATTAATTTTCTTTAAAGAAACTCAAATTTCAATTTTATTTATAAATTTCCACTAAAAGGACACAAAATGCGACGACGTGTGGGCCTGGGAGCCATCCAGCAGCAGAAACTGGCCGCGGAGAAGTACAAGGACAAGGGCACCGACCTGCAGGAAAACCAGCTCGAGCAAATGACTAAGCAAATGGAGGTTTTCCGTGTGAAACTCGAGGAGTTTGCGATGAAACACAAGGAGGACATCCGCAAGAACTCACAGTTCCGCAAGCAGTTTCAGGAAATGTGCGCCGCCATTGGCGTGGATCCCCTGGCCTCAGGCAAAGGCTTCTGGAGCGTTCTGGGCATGGGCGATTTCTACTATGAACTGGGCGTCCAGGTGGTGGAGGTTTGCCTGGCCGCCAATCACAAGACCGGTGGCCTCATGGAACTGGACGAGCTGCGACGACGCCTAATCGCCGCCAGAGGTCAGAGTTCAGTGCACCAGGAGATCACCAAGGAGGACATCCTCATGGCCGCCAAGAAACTGACCATCTTTGGAAATGGGTAAGGGTTTTGTGACTCATAATGGGGAAAAAATGACATTAAACTTGAATTTATAATGGTTTATACATGTTTATACTACTTGTTTTTAATATCCCTGCATTTTTATAGTTTGATTCACTGTTTTAGTTCGGTACCGCATTTATAATAGATCGATCCACATTTTTTATCCACTAAGGATTTTACTTAAACCAACTGTAATGTAATGTAATTTCCAATCTTTAATTTTAGCTTTGTGGTGCACAAGCTGGGAAAGGGCAAGTACATCGTTCAGTCCATTCCCGGAGAGCTGAGCATGGAGGAGACCAACATCCTGAACGCCGCATCCAATACGGAACAGGGATGTGTTACGCAAAGTCAGCTGATGAACGATTTGGGGTATTTGCTTTACTTATACGTGAAATTCAATGTAAAGCTTATTTCTCTATTTGTACTCCTCAGTTGGACCGAATACCGCGCCCAGCAGTCACTGGACAAGGTGCTCGGCGAGGGTCTCTGCTGGATTGACAAGCAGGCGCAGGATGAGCCCGCCTACTGGTTCCCCAGTTTGTTTCCCGGTCGCAATGCACAGACCACAGTCGCCACGTAGTGATCTCATAAAATTAATTTAATATGTACAATAGTAAGCATAAAATATATCTTTGTATAACTGTAAAATCAGCGGCAAGATCTACAGAGGCTGCCTGGAGCCGTCTCCGGCGGCGCCGCTTTTCAGCAATTGGTTGTCAGCCAGCAGCTCGGAGTTCTCCTTTCGCAGTTCGTAAATGACCGATTCAAAGCGCTGCGTGATGTCGTCCATCGCTGCCCGGTAGCTGGATTTCATCTGCTTGTGGGCCACTAGGTAGTGCTCCATTTGAGACTCGTATTGCCGTTTTCTATAGGAGTAAAACATGTTTATAAGGCGATTTTATTTCTACTTGCCCTGCACCGGTGCATATTATGATTTATTGTAATGTATTTTGTATTAAAGGCTTCGGAAATTTATTTATTGTAGTTCGTTTACTCACAGCTTCCCGTCTTCAGCCTCTTCGCAATGGACTTCATTGAGGGATCGCTCCAGCTCGCTAAGTCGTCGGCAGGTGACCTCCACCTCGGCCTCCAGCTTGTCGTTCTGCTTAACCACCTCCTTGTACTTGTGATCCAGGCGATTGTTTCGCGTCTCCAGCTGGTGAACCACCAACTTGTGCTCGACAGAATCCTTTTTTAGCTAAAAATCAGATAACATAAGTGAAAATTATAATAGCATGGCATCTTCTTACCTTCTCCTTCAGAGAGGTAATCAAATTGTCCTTTTGCTTGAGCTTGTTCTTCAGCTGGGCCACTTCGGAGTCCACGCGCGTGGAAGCCTCCTCCATGATGGTGCCAATATTGGTGGCCAGCTGGGTGACCTCTTCCTTGTATGCATCGGCCAGCTTCTTGGCCTCCATTTTCTCCCTGTTTGCCTCTTCGCTGAGTGTGATGGCCTCCTCGACCTTTCGCATGGCTGTGGACTCCCGCCTCGTGCTCTCCATCAGCAAATTGTGGGTATGGCTCAGCGAGATCTCGTACTCCTTCAGCTGCTTCTGCAGGCTGGACACCTTGACCTGATCCTGGCCCATGTCCCTCAGTTGGGCCTGCAGCTGCTGCAGTTGCTCACCACCGCGCTGCTTGTGCTCGTGGAGCGCCTTTATGGTCTCCGCCTGCGTGCGCAGCTCCTCCTGCTGGGCGCTCACCTTGGCCTCCATCATTTTCAGGGCCTTTGAGTACCGCTGAACAATCTAAAAGTAAATTTCGAAAATGGTTAAGGGAAATTTAGGATTTTTTGCTTGGTCTCTGGTCTCTAGGATAAACCATAATGTCAAGGCTTACTATAAAATAAAAATATTATGTATCTAAAAATATTATTTTTAATTTCTTCCTGATTTATTTACATGATTGAGTTTTTTTTTAAAGATTTCTGTATGAAAAGTTATTATTTGTTTATACTTTAATATATATTTTTGTAGGTCTTAGTATATACTTTCGTATTTAGATAGAAAAAGTGCTGTTAAGCTTATTATATTTTATTTATTTATTTATTGAAAAACTACGACATGTAAATATGAAAGTAGGTACTTTTTATGTTGTAAAAGATTCTAAAGAATATTTGTATACCTAAGGACCAGTTGATATTTAAGTTTTTAAATTAATGACATTAATACCTGATCATCCCCAGACTGTTTCAGCTGGACGCGATAGTTCCTTAGCTCCAGCTCCATGTTCTCGATGGTCCGCTTGGAGAAGTCCTGCATGGCCTGCAGGCTCTTCCGCTCCTTGAGGAGCTCCTCCACCTGCTTTTTGGCTGCGTCCAAGGCATTGTTGGTCAGCAGAAGGCGCTGCTTCATATCCTGGTAGTCACCATTGGCCAGGGTGTTCCTGCACTTGGCCAACTCGCTGGTCAGTCGGCGATTCTCATCCAGCATATCGTTGACGTGTTCTCGCATGTTGGCCTGCTCCTGCCGGAAGTTGCGCAGGTCCTGGTTGGTGTCCCGCACCAGGCGCTCCACTCCTTCGGCCATTTCACGCAAGCTGCTACTTAATGGGAGGATTGGGTTAATTGCTGGCCATATAGCACATACATATATATTATTCAATAATAATTAGGGCTACCTACCTGGGAAACGCATGCTTGTTTTCGTGTTGTGTCATAATTGTTTTTTGTCTGGTCTCACATTTCTTTGAACTGTCATAATAACACTTCAAGCTTGAAGTATTACATTGTTATATTTCTGTATCATTCTTGTTTAAATCTTAAAGCGATTAATTATTAAATTTACTTTGGGCAACTTTTCATCTATTTTCAAAATTGCAAACATATATGTTCATTTTTACATACTTTTAATAGATATTTTTAAGTTCATTAGGCATTGAGGTTTCGTAAACTTTTTGTATAATCACATATTTAAAAGGTTTTTGTGTGACAAGCGAGTACCTTTTTTTGAAAATGGACTGCATATTCACATTTTGAATGGATCCCTATAATCAAGCTAGCTTTGGAGTAGATTTCTAGATTTTTCAAGAACTTTAAGATATTTGCTTCTGAATTTAGTTTTACCCTCGTGCGGTTAGGAACCCATTCTATTCCACCGGTTCTATGCCACTGGCAGACTTTTGCTGTCCGTTGTCAATCTGTGGCCGCCTGCCACCCTTTAAGCAGGTATTACTTGTAATAAAAAACACAGGCACGAGTCCTGCCACGGCCGCTGCCCCCCGACAAGTGTCCGTTGTCCTGGGCAACGGGGCCAGTCAAAACAAATGGTGGAATAATCGGAATATGGTCATCTCTCTGTTTCAGTCACTTGCCATGCCGCTTTTCAACAAGAAGTTCGAATCGAAGCCCATTCCGGTGCGTCAGGGTCGCTGCAATATTGGCCATCCTTTGGCCACCGAGGAGCTGGACGACTTCCGCCAGATCTCCCTTACACTGGGCAATAAGGAGCTGCGTTTCGCAGACGGCATCTGGATGCATTCGTCCCGGAAGGGCGATGTGGACGACATGCTCAGGCTGAACAAGAAGTTTAGGGCCCTCGAGGAGGAGAACAATATGTGCAACCTGAAAATCGAGGTTATGCTGGATCTTCTGGCGGAGCATGCCACGGAACTTGGTGAATTAAAACCAAAGTAGGAGAAGAGGGAAATAAAGAAGACTTGATTTACTGGCAAAGGCATTTCTTATAATTAAAACCCTGTCCTTACATTAGAAGAAAAAATGGGTGTAACCATTAATGCTTAGTGAAAGAAAGATCATCTTGTGTTTCTAAAATATAAGCATAGTACATTTTAGATTTGTGTACCGATTGGTTGTTATTTTAATGGGTTCTATTAAAGAACGCGAAAAAAACAAATATAAAAAAGATCCAAGTTCAACATTTTCTTAGGTATAGACATAGCTTTCTTAAAAAATAATTTCAATGCACTTTGAATCGCCCAACTATTATTTATTGTTTGAGATTTGTAAAATAAAATTTAAAACAAGGTAATTTAAAATACAAGGCGGGTATGGAACATCTTTGGTAGCTCTCAGTGGCGTCTGTTCTGTGTTATTAAAAGTGTATAACTGCTCCTAAGCTGCAATCATTTTTCTAAGGCTGATGAGTGCTGGAGGCATCGGTATTGTCTACTTCCGGTTGCATTGGAGTGTCTGCCATTATCTCGGAAAGGGTTTTTCTGAGTCGTGAATACTTCGCCTCAAACTCTAGCATGAGCTTATCCATATCCTTCTTAAAGCTGGCCATCAATTTTTCTTGCACTACCTTATAAAGGTCTACTTGATCCTTGTGCCTTTTTTTTCTGTAAAAGTTAAAAATGCTGATGGTATATTACACTTTATAAGTAAGTAGTTTTCGATCTTACAATTCAGTTTGATGTTCTACCACTTCAGAATCAGTATCATTGAAAGAGCGCTTCGCTTCAGCCTCCAATTTCTCATCGTGCTTTAGAGCTTCCTCATATTTCTCCTTCAAGCGATTTTTTTTTCTGTTAAATGACAGTAACAATTTAAATATTATATTTTTGTAGAAAAATAAGTAAAGGTCTTACTTATCAGCTTGATGTTCCTCCATATCGGATTTTTGATCACTGACAGATCCTTTTTCTTCGTCGTCAAATATGTTATTCCTATTATATTTTTTGGAATACTCCTCAATATCATCGGGACTGATCTTCAAATACTCTTTCATTATTTCCTGTTCCATCTGACGAGGATTATTAATTAAAATAGGAAGTGGTTGGCTTAACAAATATCTTACCGGACCCTGTGTGGAAATAAGATAATTCTGACTCTGTTTCAATTCGTTATTGAATTGGTTCCTTATTGCAGACATCGATTTTTTGGCCTTTTCAATAATGTTGTTCGCTGCAATAATGCTCTCTTCGTCCATTTGGATTGGAATATGATCCATTGTTACTTCGTATTTTGCCTAAAAAATAAACTTATTATTTTTTAAAATGCCTAGATCAACTTCGAATAAAAGCCGAAAAGCAATGAGTTCTCATGAACTCTCACGATGTGAAATGTGAAGGAAAAATACAAAGTGTACTAGATTCAAATAAAAAACATGACCTATATTTGATCAAAGCTCCTACAGACCTTAAAAATTTACAGTATTAAAGTTATAAAACATAAAATAAATCAGTTAGGTAACATACATTTTTATATCAGCTTAATGAACTATACTGATTTTTCGAAAGTCGTTTTAGCTTATGGGCTCTAGAGAAATCAAATCGAATAGCAAGCGCATTTGTTTATTTATCGTAAATACCATAAATATAGTTTGACCCAAAGTTACCTAATTTCGATTAAGACCCAACCACATACTTGAGATCTATTTATAATGCCACATTAATCAGTTTCACATGCCCATCGGGGGAGTTATCAAGAGGTCTGGCTGGGGGCTTTTGTTGACCGGCCCATTGGGCATTAATTTGGATTTGTTGCGCGAGCATTGGAGCTGGTCAAATTGGTGGCATTGTTGTCGCCATTGGCAGCAATCTATAGACGCCATCAATGGTATCGCCGAGTTCCGTCGTCGAGCTGCCGGTGGCTCCCGCTTCGTTTATAGGCCGCCTGATAAGCCACCACCCCGATAAACCCAGACCAAACCCGATCGAACGGTTTGAATGCCGTGATAAAACCGAACCCGCCGATGAGCCGCACAAGAGCTGTATAAATAGCGCTATGAATTAACATGACCTCCTCCTTCTCTAGAACTCCACTCGTATCTCACGTCCGGGGTTAGACAAATTTTCGGATAGCCCCGATAAAGCTTAGCAAGCAGCTATAGCCGCACAGCAGTCTAATCTTCGGGGGAAGTGGAAATGCGGGCAGAAGTGCGGGTGCCTTCACGGGATATGTACATAGGTGTCTGCCTAGGCCCCATATCGGTCCACTCCATCGACTACTGTATATTTACGCACCGATATTGATATGCGATAAGCAAAACTGCTTATAAAACACATTTATTTTGTTGTTCCCAGCAATGCCAGCACCTATAGCAATAGAACACTGGGAGAAATCTATGAATTCGTAGTGGGAATTTTATAAAAAATTTATTCAAAAAGTTATAACTATGATAATGGAGTTTTTCTGAAAAACACGTAAAATATCATTATTACAATACAGTTATGTATATATTAAAATCCCAAAAAAATATTTTTATAATTTAATTACTATGTTACTATCGGATTTATTATATTTATAGGATACATTACAGACCCAAAAAAATATTTTTATAATTTAATTACTACATATATTACTATCGAATTATATGTGCAATCATTTTATAAGAATTCGCTCTGCTTTGCAACAAAAAATGTGTATCTTAACAGCGATGGCAAAAAATGAAAGGTTTTAAACTATTTTTAATTTTAAATTATTTTTTTTACATAATTTTTTCCAGTGCACTGCCCACCATGGCCGCTGCCGTCGCCTCCGAGGGGTAACACTTGTTCGAATCGTGTATTACAGTAGTTTGTTGATAGCCAGCCCCGCGAACGGAACGCGTACGGAAGAAAACGATCGCGAGATCGATGTGGCTACAATATTTACGGACCATAATAGCCAATTGCCGGGAGGAAAGCAAACGCAACTGGAGCTCCAGACGGCGAAAAGCAAACATTTTGCAAAATTCGCAAATTCCAGTGACTAAGAACATATTCTGTGTGTGGCATTCAGAAACCGGAGAAGCAGACCCGGAGTTCTAACTGAAAATAAAAAAAAAAAACCCGCCGTATCAGCACAGCCCACGCGATTATGAAGCCATCATCGTGTCAGTTGTCCATCCGCTCTTAGCCACAGTGAGTGTGTTTGCTCCTATTTTGATTCCACTGCTCGGCCAGCTCGGTAAACAAATTGTCTATTAAACAATCAACTTTTCACCTAATAAATGATATCGTATAAATCAATTGAGTCGATGCCAATCAACTGGGGCAACACAGATAAATCTCCATCACAATGGGAAGAGATCGCAGATCTTGGAAGGCAAGCGAAATGCATAAACAAACGTCCTCCCATCAAAAGTGTTTTATGAGTTTTGTGTTTTGTGGTCGGGCAGAATGATCGAGAAATGATTTGGTCGTGACATTCCACTTAAGTAAATTTATTTATTATATTAGAAGGCAGACAGAATGTTTAAACGACAAGGACAAAGGACTATAAAAAAAATCAAAATAAATAAGTATAAAGATTATTTCTAGCTTTAATACTTCCAATCAAGCTATATTAAGAAATGTATATTTCACATTTCTTATCTCCAGTGGACATCATTAATATTCTCCAAGAATAGCCAGTTCAAAACGGAACTCTAGTTTCATACATTTACAGCCCCTCTACGCGCTTCTCAATCTATCGAGTGCCACCGAAAGTTCTTTGGTAGCCCGCCATTCAATTGATAAACGGGCATTATCGCTGCGGCAATGATTTATTGTTGCATAAATGGCACTCACTATTTATTAATAAATGAGAAGCGAAATTCTGATAATTTATATATATGGGCACCAAGGATTTGTGCCCCAGTGTTTGTGTTTGTGAGCCAATGTAGAGCACCCGTTCGCTTCAAATGGCCAAGTAAATAAACAAAAGTGGATTTTTACACTCATCGCCGACAGCGCACAATAAAATGTGTGAAAAATGTGCTAGAGCAAGTGGAAATGCAACCGCGTAGACCAAATAAATAAATACAAACTTGGAAAGCTTCGCATGTTTGCTAAGAAATTAAATGAAAATCGATCATTTGGGAAATAAACGAATGGCCAGTCAGTGGAATTCTAATAAATAAATGCCAGACCATTGTGTGTTCCCCAAACTAACTGATCAAAGTGTTCGACAGGTTCCTTTAGCGATAACAAGTGGAAGACAATGTCGCGGATATGCTAAGTGGAAATGGATCCGATGATTTGTGATCTGTGGTCTGGCCACATCTGGCTATTGATTCTCATTTGTTTCTGCGGCTTCGAACAATCCCGCGGTTTCTTTGTGGACTATACAGGTGAGTTAACGTTACCTTAAATAATTTTAAATTAGGTGAGGGTATCACCAGGTCCTTGGGGTTATTAAGAAAAAAGGTGCAATTAAATTTATACAGCTCTTTTTCTAACACCACGTTTCCGCATTCATTCGTCAAAACGTTCAGAAGGTTAATCGCAATTTCGGGTAGCACAGCGCTTGATAAGATACTGTCAATTTGGCTATCATATATGTGTCTATAAACACAGAAAATAGTAAACATTTGCCATTGCCTTGATTGAATGGTTTGCAATATTTTTTTTTATATTTTTCGCTGGTGCAGAGAACACGGAGCTGATTCAACAGAGAGCCGGGTTTGATGTCAAACTGCAGTGCAATCTCCAAGGTCTGGTCGATGAAAGTATGTTGGATGACATCAAGATACATTGGTACTTCAAGGTATTTATCGTTTTTACTTTCTATTAAAATCAATAAATAATTGATATACGGAACTTCACTTTCAGCAATGCAGTGAGAATAATTGTCATCATCTGGAGGCTGTAGATGAATGGACTGCCCTTCCTTGCGAGCCGAGTCTTTGTCGTCCGGAACTGTGGCTCCGGAATGTGACGGAGCGGTATTCGGGACTCTACAAATGCAGCATTAATCCTCACATTTGGGATAAAGCTCAAGCTATGGATGTCCAACTGGTCCGCACTTATCAACTGGATGTTAAGAGTAAGTTGTGCAGTCAAAAATGTAAATTTAAAGCAGTGGTCAACAGCAGAAGCTGCTGTGACTCCCTCTTCTGGAGAACACCTCTTTAATGTGATGAAACATTTGATTAATCAATTTCCTTTTTTTAATTTCTAGACACCTCCTTGGCTGCTCCCGAGTTCGTGGACTCGTATCCCAACAACAAGACGACATTGGTGGGCAGTCGCGTAGTCTTCCAATGCCGTGTCCACAGCGAGGAGCATCCCACTATCAAGTGGTTCCGCCGGCACACCTACGTGGGAACTCAGTCAGCTGGAGAGGCATCCTCGTCAACAACGGCCTCCAATTTCAGCACACATATTGTCCGGTACAATGGTCGGACATACGAGCTGCTGTCCACTGACCCTGAAAAATTAATGGCACCCCAGATATATCTCAGCAAGTTGATTCTAGACGGGGTGAGATTGAGAGATGCCGGTCACTACGCCTGCGTGGCCATCAGCTATCGGGGTCACAAGATCCGGGAGGCTTTCCTCGAAGTGCTGCCCGTACAGGATGATCCGGATCAGGAGAAGGAGTACTGGTCGGACTACGATAGTGGAGATGAGGGAGTTCCAACTAGCGATCCTCGGGAATTCCTGCTGCTCTTCCTAATGCCCCTGGGATTGGCACTTCTTCCTCTAACCGTATGGTTCAGTTATGTGTTGTACAAACGCTGCTCCGATGGTCATGGTGATTGCCAGCGGATTGATTCGGATGAGGATCTGGACACGGAAAGGTGTGTCCTTGGAGGAAATTAGTACATGGTGCCAATGCCTAAAATTGTGGAAGCTGCATTACGCTTATTAAGACTTTAAATAAAGACTGTATATAGGGTTAAGGAAGTAATATCTACCATTTAAAATAAATACAAAGATTAAATATTAGCTAACAAGTCAGCCGTGAACTTTCCCTCACTAAAGATCCCATTATAATTTCTAGAAATATTTCATTTTTGTATCATTTGGTTGAATGTGATAGTTGTGTTGGAATGTTACTAAGGCAAGCTAGTTAAGCAAAGTTCAAAATTTCCGTCGTATGAAATTCCAAATTTGTTCGTCCTCAGCTTCTGGCAGACACAGTCCTCATTTGGGCACCATCTACATCGTCATCGCCGAAGCATCCCGATCGATCCTCCAAAGAACCGGTACCCGTTTCCACAGAACTGATGATCCTTGAGGTTTGTCTGCAGTTGCATTTGGTGGGACAGTTTTCTGTTCGCATATACTTTCTGAGCCTTAGCCTGAACGTGGTTAATCAGTGGGAACCAGTCCAGGCGACATCCATTGGATATTATCCGTAACGCAGAGAAGATCCCCCAAAAAGTATCAGATTGGGTTTGAGGTAAAATACTTAGACAACGCAATGTTTGGATCTATACTAAGCCGCAGGGTTTTGGGATACTACGAGTACTTCATGCCCGGGATCTACGACTATCCAGTCACCCATAGTGCCGCTGCTACAATCAGTGCCTATCAGCTTGATCCAGAACTGGCCAGCGGCTCATCTCTTTGGTCCATTCCCGATGCGAATGTCAACTATGTGGTAGGACCATTGGGCGTGATCAACTATCTTTCGGATGTGCAGACACACTTGGCTTTGCCCACCATCCAAAATTTGGAAACTGGTGTCATCTTTACCACCATCAGTTCCATTTCGCAGGACTCTTATTATCATCAGTCGCTATATGACTATGGCCAAGTGGAGGACGATCTGACGGATGATGAGGGGTACGGTTATGAGATACCCCAGCTTGATCTTGGCCCAGAGCGTCCTACTTCCGAATCCGATGGAGTGGAGCAGGAGCCAGTGGAGGAGTCTGGTGATTCCGAACACTTATCAAAGAGTTACTCCAGCGAGGATTCGGGATCAGCGGAACCTGTACAAACCGATGAAGAGGTGCCCAGGAAGCGCAGAAAAGTCTCTCGCAAGCGCATCTATAAGGCCGAGCAGGGTTACCTGGTCGAGGAGCCAACCAGCGAACTATCCGAGGATGATACCGCGGAACTCCCAACCAAACCCAGAACCTAGAATTTTATTCAAGTTCAGAAAGTTGGCGTTTTCATTTCAAATTATTTGCCATTGCGTTCAAATTCGAGCAGTTTCAAAGCGACTATAAACCGATATTTAGATGCGTTTTCAGATGTACATATAGCAAACGAAATGTGTAAAAGCTGTTCAAATTTGATTAGTCGTTGCAATTTGGTAGTGAGCAAAATATATATATTTTGTAAAAAGTATAAGCAAAGTAGTAAAAAATATTTGAAATTTTCATAAACTAACTGACTTTTACTGGGAATAAATATCGAACTAGGAAGTAAAATTAATTAGCTGGTGAGCTAATTCGTCGTTAAAAGTTCGAGGACAAGTAAAATGCACAATGAATAATGGGATCGATCACTTTTGTTTTAAATATTCCTCACATAGGTGCAAATTAATAGACCCCCATAGTACACAGTAGCACCTGGTCGAGACCCAATTTGCACACCCATTGAGCAACTAATTTAATTATTCGCACATGTCCATCGACTTTGCTCTCAGTTTCTCATATCACACCGCTGAAAGGTGTCTCCCAGTCTCTCTGCTCTCTCTTTCTTTTTTGTATAGCCCTCTTTATCTCTGCGTATTGCCCCCTCTCTTTCTAGTTGTGGGACGAGACTGCCATCCATCGACAGCCGCTCAGTTGTTATACGGCTTTTGATGCCATCGGACGTGACTTGTATTTATTTGATATTTTTGTTTCGTGGACGGGCCAGCGAAAACGAAAACACTCGCTATAAAATAAACAAAAAACTATTTTTAGGCTGCAAATCTGAAATATATTTTCTCGATCAACTGCAGCCAGGAGCATAGAACCCATAATAATGGACTGCAAATCGCGACGCGGCACCAAAATATCGGTGATCGCCCTGGGAAGTGCCCTCTGTTTCGTTATGATGGCATACTTTGTGTTCGGCGATAGCAACGACGAGCAGGGTCTGCGGAATCTACGCATGATATCCATAGTAAGCTGGACCAGCGACTAACATAATGCCATAAACAACGCGAACTGAGTACTGTGTTTATCAATCCCCACCAGCTGTTTCGACACGGGGCCAAGAATCCGAGTGGCTTCTATCCGCTGGATCCGCATGCAGCGCACGATTGGCAGGGCGGCATGGGTGCCCTCACACCGGTTGGTATTAGATATAGTACAGCCATATTATCTGCCTCATTTAACAACTCGAAACTAATCAGTGATCCACTGATCACTTGAAAGAAAATAAGTGAAATATTTATCAAGATCATGAATGCCAAAATTGTATTTTTCAAGTGGTTTGATATCTAATCTACAAAATTGAAACAATTAAAAATATACCCCACTTCCAATAAAGGTATAAAAAGGGAGTAGCTACTTTTTTTTTTAGAAAAATTGTGCTTGGTAAATTTAATTTAAGTTATAAAACAAGATACTGACAGCTTTATTTCGAGTACCTATAAATAGATCGTTAAGTAAAGCGATGTGATTTAGGTGACCTATTTAATAAATAGGGAAAAATACAAGTGTTTTTAAAATGTGATGATTATCATTTTTAAAATGATCCGAATCGTATATGTTAATAGATAATTTTCTCTCTTTTTATCCTATTTCATAGAAAGGCAGTCTTCAGGCCTACAACCTGGGGAAGAATCTGCGCATGCGCTACTACCGGCTGCTCCCCTCGAACAGCCTCTACACCCAGCAGCAGGTGCATGTCCTCAGTTCGGCGGCGGAACGCTGTGTGGTGCGTCAATCGTTCCGATAAGAAACCCTCTATATAGCTATTAACTATCTGTCCGAGATGGGGGTGCCCTAATCAGTTGGCCGTGTGTTATCTTTTAGATGAGCGCCCAGAGCGTCTTGGCGGGCATGATGCCGCCGCTGGAGAATAACAATGTTCTGCCCATCCCGTGGCAACCTGTGGCCGTGAATACGCTATCGCGAAACGATGATATTGTGAGTGCAATCGTATATCCATAAACCGAGTGCAAGTCATCACTCTAACAGTATGATATCTCTTTCAGCTTTTGGCCCAAAAGAAACCCTGCTTGAAGTACGACCACATCCTGCAAAAACTCTACAAAGCTCCGCCTGCGGAACTTCAGAAACTGAACGAAAATAACCTGGAGTTGTACAAACTGTTAACAAAAAATACAGGCAAGGTGGGAGAGAGTTACACCAACATTGGTTGTTAATTCGTTTTTTATCGTATCAGAGAAATTCTTATCTTTTTTGACAATATCTCATTAGGCTTACATTCTATATCAGTCTTTTTTATACCTTTATCGGCCTATATAAAAAAATGGAAAACAAATATTTGAACAATGCAAAATTTACATATTTCTTACTTATTAATATTTATAACATCTTTCCGTTGATGCATCTTATCCCTTAGAACATTTCAAATGTTCTGGATGTGGAACTTCTATATGGCACACTTAAAACTGAAGTGGAGGCTGGTCTGGTGCTGCCCGACTGGACTGAGAACATATATCCCGAAGAGATCAGACCGCTGGCTGAACGAAGCTATACGCTTTTCACAGAAACCAATCTGATGAAGCGGATTAAAGGTGGAGCCTTTCTCACGGAAATACTTATCAAAATGCAGAATAAGCGAAAGCGCAACCTGAATCCCGATCGGAAAATATTCCTGTATTCTGGGCACGATGTGACGTTGGTTAATGTTATGAATTCCTTGGGAATACTAGATCAGACTACAAAGCTTCCCGAATACGCATCGGCACTAGCTTTTGAACTCCATCACAGCAAGTCTTTCAGTGATGGTGACTTTGAAGTAAAGGTTGGTAGTTGTAACATTATTATGTATATCTGGGATTTTAAATACGTTGCATATGTTTTTTGCAGTTGGTTTACTATTACAACAGCGAAGACAAATTCCCCAAGGAGTTGACCATTCCTAATTGCGATGCCCCTTGCTCGCTGACCCAGTTTGAAGCCTCTGTGAAGGCCCTACTCTTGGATAACTATGATGAGACCTGCGAAAATCATCCTACTGACTGCAAAAACTGAGATTTTTTCCATTGTTATCGTTTCTGCCTGTTTAAAGTGTGTTGCTCTGGGCATTTCAAAGAAATGTTTTGTTTTTGGTAAAAACTCAGTATAAAATAAATTGTTACATTAAATAGTTTTAACAGATAAATAAGTGAAGACCATGTTATGTGAACTGGTAAGGGGATTAGTGTAGTTATCTCAAAAAGACAAATAAATTGGATGATAAATTTACAAAGTTATATTCTATTCATTGGCCAGAATGAGCTGGACAACTTCTTTGTAGTCTTCAGAAACATTGTTAAGTTGGTACTTTACAAATTGTTTAACATATTGAAATTATGAACATACTAGATAAGAAGGCTATCCCTCACAATTCACAATTTGGCTGTTCAAAAGCTGGCACCTTTGTCCTCAGCATATAGAAAATATATGGGAACTTTCACCGTTTCGCTGACATGAACGATCTCCGTGTGACTAATTAGACGGATGGCAGCCAGTCCATAGAAGAGCATTGGTAAGCCTAGAAAATGGGAATATTTTAGCTAAAGATATACAGGTCCTTAACGATTCATAAAGATACAATATGGATTTATGTACTACATGAATTTTTGTATTAGCATGACCTTTGTTGAGTTTTTGCAGACCTAAGTCAAGTATTCAATCTTATGGACTTACCCAAATTGATAACCTTTAGGAACCGAAAGAACTTGTCCTCCAGCCAAAGATCCTGCACCTCCCTCTTGCTACAGTGATACTTCATGTACGGATAACAGGCGGTGCGCAGTATGTGGTAGTTGGTTCCACTGTCCAGAGTCCAGTTGAAGTGAGACATTCCCCTCTGGTCGTTGGCCACATCCCGGAACTGGATTTGGAGCACTATCTTCGTTAGCTTCGGCAGTATTCCTCCGGCGGAGTCAAACGATTCGTACCTTCACGAAATATGATGTCCAGGGTGGCTCATGGCATTGCTTCAAATATGCGGTCAATACTTCCGAGGCTTGAGGCTTCAGTAAAAGGCGGGTAAGCTGCATTTTATTATCGAATTTTGGAGTTATAACCAATTTAAAAAATGTTTGGTAAGGACTAGTTTTTTTTGTTATTTTTGTGCTCTTATCGCACCAACAGCTGTTCTGCTATCGATAGTTTTGGGCAGGTGATTTTGATATATATCGGAACTACTAAATAGTTCAAAGAACCAGGAACCGAAAATAACAGTAATTTTTGTTAAGTACCGTTAAATTTAAAATAAAAAAAATAATTGAATTTTCTAAGGATAAAAGAATCATTGGTATATGCAAAAAAAAGCATAAAATAGGAAGACATTTGTTTGACAAAAAGCAAATATAATTATTTCGCTAACATTTTCAAAATATTTTTAAAATGTATGATCAAGAGCCCCAACAAAATATTGAATATTACGTTTTTTAAAAGTTCCTAAACTTGATCATTGCGAGGGTCGTTCCGAGGCTCATTGCGAGGCTTATAGCCAGGCTTAAAGCTTTTCTTTTTTATTGGTAGAGTGTAACGTGAAAAAAAAAAAATGTTAACCTGGAAAACAAATTAATCGGATGATGTTAAAGTGGAACAAATTATTCTCTGTTTTAGATTCTTTGGTGTTAGAAGTACCAGCAAGAACACCGACCTTACAGAGCACTTTACACTGGATGAGGAGGTGACCAACGAGGAGTTGCTACAGTATGAGGAGGGTTCAAAAGAGCGCTTGGAACTCGAAAACGCCCTTCTGGGCGTCCTTAACAGGGTGGAACATGTGCCCATCGTTATTAACGGCCAGGAGTATCAAGCCAACCAGGAATTGCAACAGGTGCTGCCCTATGATATCAAGCAGCCCATAGCCCATTACGGCCACGCCCACCGCGTCCTCATCCAGATGGCCATCGATAAGTGTCTGGAGGCGCAGATGAAGTGGGATAGGACCAAGCTCAGTGAACGGATAGATATTTGGGAGCGGGCAGCGGACCTGATAAGTGGAAGACACCGCTACAACATCATTGCGGCCACGATGTTGGGCCAAGGCAAAACGCTGCGCCAGGCGGAGATGGATGTGGCCGAATTGGTGGACTTTATGCGCATCAACCCGGTATTCCTGCGCGAGTTGGCCAACTACGAACCCGTTAACGACACCCAAAGGGAGTGCAGGAATTCCATGCGGCTAAGAGGACTTTCAGGTGGGGATCTATGGATATAATTGTTCTTACTAAGCCACTAAATAACTTAAAATTCACAGGATTTGTGGCTGCCATTAGTCCTTTCAACTTCACGGGTATTGCCGGCAATCTGGCCTATACGCCCGCTCTGATGGGCAACTCGGTGCTTTGGAAGCCCTCCGATTCGGCCATCCTCTCCAACTATTTCGTCTTCCAGGCCATGCAGGAGGCAGGTGTTCCCAAAGGAGTGGTGAACTTTGTGCCCGCGGAGGAGACGACCTTCGCATCCGTAGTAACGCAGCATCCGAAGCTGGCTGGAATCAATTTCACTGGTACTTCAACGGTTCTGAAGGTACTGTGGCAACTAGTGGCCCATAATATTCACTACTACGAAAACTATCCCCGTTTGGTGGGCGAGGGAGGCGGCAAGAATTTCCACTTCGTACATCCCTCGGCGGAACCGGAAACGGCAGTGGCCTGCACTATAAGGGCAGCCTTCGAGTACTCCGGCCAGAAGTGCTCCTCCTGCTCCATGTTGTATGTTCCACAATCCCTCTGGGAGAGCCATATAAAGGAGCCCCTTCTGAGGATCACCGGATCTCTGGTCACCGGACATGCCACGTACTGCGACTGTTTCTGTTCGGCGGTTATTAATCGACGAGCCTACGATCGCATCTACATGTGGTTAAGATACATTGCCCAGAGTCCCAGTTGTCAAATCTTAACCGGAGGAACCTGCGACAAGCAAAGAGGTTACTATGTGGATCCTACGGTGGTGCAGGTCAAAGATCTGGACAACATCATATGTCGGGAAGAGCTGCTGGCGCCCATCCTTGGTGTCTACGTTTATCCGGATGAGAAACTCAAGGAGACCATGACAAAGGTGGCCGAGATCAATCATGGGCTGATAGGATCGGTGTTTGCCAGGGATCAGGACTTCGTCGAGGAGTCCTACGAAGCCTTTAGATTTAATGTGGGCAGCCTGAATGTAAATGACAAGTCCACCGGGTCCATGGTTGCTCAGCAGCCTTTTGGAGCGGGTCACATGACTGGCACCAGCGACAAGTTGGGCAGTCCTCACGCCCTGCTGCGATGGACCTCGCCCCAGGTGATCAAGGAGTCCTACAAGCCGCATATGAACATCTATTATCCGTATATGAAAATGAACGAACTGGAGCAAGGTGTTATTCACATGCAGAGCGAGCAAAGTGAAGTGGTCTGCGAGGATAAGAACACCTTCGAGGATTCTAACAAAGAGGACAATCGCCTGATATAACATCTATTACGGCCATTCATGACTCAAATTATTGCAGCAATAAATAAAAAAAAAAAATTGACTTGTGATTTTTAAAGCTATAAAACTTAAGGGAAAAGTTACCAGTCGAAGATAATTTTTTAAAATATATTTGAAAATATGTGGGTTCTATAATATGTGGTAACTAAGACACTCTTATAAGATGTAGATAGATTTTTTTCGATCACGACAGATCATCCAAATACTTTTGAAAATAAAGTCAAATATTTTGTACTATTACACTTAATATGTAATTATAATCCAGAATACCGCAGTTTTTTAGGAAGAAATGAGATGTTTAGATATCTTCTTTATATTTCGTGCTTACTTTTATTACCCAACCTGGTACCCATCAGTTTCACAGAAGCAGAGGATCGGGAACTTAGTATATCCCGAAAGGAGGCATCTTCCAGATCGAGAATCCAGGACGGCATGGGACCGACGCATTATAATAGACTGTATGACGCCTATCGGGAAAGATTAAAGGGAGAGGGAGGAGAGCAAACTGAAGACGAAGAAAAATCGGATTCGAAAGATGCACCACTTCAAAGAGATGTAATTGCCCTAACTAAAAAAGTAAATGAACCCATTTCAAAAGAGAAAGATTCTAAAGTACTACCCATTATCGATGCAACCGATGATCGGCCCATGCCATCGAGCAAATGTCTGGCCCGTCTTCCATATCGTAATAAAGAAAATCAAAGTGTTAAGGCCAAGGTCGATGCTAAAAATCCCTTGGTGAGTAGTATGATTTTGCTAAAATTGGATGTACCTGAAAATGTGCTACGAGTTAAAACACCGGAGAAGACACAAGATCCTGGAGATCGCAAAATTTTCGAACTCAATCGCATATACAAGGATTTCCTGAAAGCCTGGCAACAACCATCACCAAAGACTGAAGTCCCAGCTAAACCTCTAAGTTCTTCAGGATCTGTGAGACTGAGTGCATTGTCCGATTTGATGGATGTCATCGAGCGCCTCCAACAAAGAGATTTGGTTAAAGAGTTAGCACAAAAGATTAGCGATGAGATGGAACCCAATCTGCAGAAACAAATCAAGCAGGATGCCCTTCTGGTGACCGAAAGTAGAGCCTCTTTGAGAGCTATTAAAAAAAATGATCTCTCTGGGATCTTTGAAAATGTGGAACCCGGAAGCGCTTCTGTAGCTTTCAAAAAAATGCTAGATGATATCAACTCCAGAAGATCAAGCATTAAGGCTGGTGGGCTTTATGATGAGTACAAGAAGGGTTTCTGTCAGTTATTCAGCGATCATAAATTCACTAGGCAGTCGCTGATAACCAGCGAAGCGGATTATCCTTTGGATAGCGAATCAAGTCGCAGGGTGAATGGAGAGGACCTTTTTCCCAGTCAGTCTGATAAAACAAAAGCAATTTCTTTTAAAAGTAATGAACCAGAAAACAAAACCCCAGCCAAGCTCTGTGTTCCAGTGGCAAATCCCAGCACAAACAATAACTATTTGAGGGCTCTGGAAACCTTTATCAAGTTGAACAAGGAGAGTAACAAGAACGGCGGCTTAAAGCCCTATTACCTACCAAATTCTAAAAATCGTCAGTTGATTTGGAATGATATTCCCTTGATTAAGCCAGGCTTAAGTGAAACACCTAAGAAAACCTTAGAGAATAAGCCAAAATATAAACCTTCTAGTACTCCCATCCAAGAGAATGTGGTGCCTGAAAAGGAACCCAATAAAGTACCTAGTTCTAAACCTGCTCTTAAACTGGAAACTAAAGTCTTAGAATGTGTTCCCAAAGCCGACAATAAAGTGCTAGCCACAAACCCTTGGCAAGAAGTTTTCTCAGGACTGGATCCCAAACAAATCATCAGCGGATTGAAGGCCATCAAGCAATCGTCCTTCTTCAACTTGGTGGATGAGTATCAGAAGCAGATTGATAACCTTAATCAGGCGTTGAAAACAAAGCAAAGTTGGTGGAAGGAGGTTTTGGAGAGGGGCAAGTCTCCTCTCAGGACACCCGAGAAAAGGAATATACTAATGGGTAATGCCGCTTCTGGACCTCCGCCGCCAGCGCCTTTTCCCGAGGTCCTAGTCAATCAGGCTACACAACTGGGTGGTAATAATGTCATTGATAACATGGCCACTCAAATGAACCTGTCACCTGTGGAGCTGGCTAAAAGAATTGTCGGAAATGGTCAGAATAGTGCAGTAAATTCAGGCGATGGACGAGCTAGACTTGTACAAAATCTCATGCAACCAGGTGAGTTTGTAAAACTATGGCTATATGGTTACTTTGAGTTATGAATCTCCTTTTAAAAGCAAGTCAGATCGGAGGTAGTTTCAAGAAAGGACCAGAGGTCTTGTGCCAAGTCCCATGTCAATCGATGGGTCAATCCTCGCAGCCATCTCAACAACAACAACAACAACAGCAAGAGGAGCAGTCGGGGATTTCCCCGGTTCTAGACAAGATTCTTGAGCGTTTGGAGACCATTCAGGCAACGAAATGCAATAAATCCGCGGATGAGGAGGAGGAGAAGAATCTGCCTTGCTGCTTTGTGGACCCAGCAGATGGTAAGCTCCCTACTCGGAGCCCAGATTTATAATAACCCTTGCTAACTTAAGGTTCCCCCTGTGACCTGAACGGCTCCTGGGAGTCCCTTGTCCTGGGAGTTCGTATAAATATCAAATCCCCACCCATGTCTTCAGATGGGGAAGTAAAAGATAGGCCCACCTGTAGTCAACACAAAAGTTCTCGCACCCATCATCGTAGATTCGTGCGACAGTGCGTCAAGATGAACAAGACCCAGTTAAAGGGTATAGCCGAAACAAAAACGCCCAATTTTCAAGGAATACCGCTGAACATTAGTGTACAGGAAACAGTACCGCCAAGAGCCCACGAACTTATCGATAATCTAACCGACTGGCACTTTTCCGGCCATGCCCTCATGATCCTCGGCGGACCCCTTTCGCTCTCCTTCCGCAAGGTCAATTCCAATCTGATCGGACACTTTGTGGGATATTGCCGCACCTGCGGCTGTGTGGACACCATTTTTGGCTCCTGGAGCTTCTGTCAGCCGTCGCGGGACTGCCAGGATATCTGCATGTCCATAGTGGATAGGCGCGATATGTTGCGACGATATAGTATGGATGAGCGGCGAAAGAATCGGTTCAAAGAGCAGCTCTACATGGGCAGCAAGTTCGCCAAAATGGAAAAAGACCGACTGCTCGCCGAACAGGAAAAGTACCAAAAACTTAAGTCTCAAGCCGCAAGCACTTTGTACGTCAATAATACTAGTTCTAAAAGTTAGACTTGATTTTAAATTTTGTTCATTTTATGTTTTGGTTTAATACGTATTTCAATTATTTTATAAAAAGTTAATGTTATAGAGATATTATATTGCCATTAATAAAAGTTTGGCCAATAAATGTTTAATAAAAAGAAAGTAGATATTTTTGAAAAAAAATGAGTATTAATGTATACCAACATTAACATCAACCCTTGTGGTATTTTTTCTACATCTGAAACCCTATAACCACCATTTATAAAAAGCACGAAAGATCCAAGAGGTATTTTCAGTTAATGCTCACAGTTTATTTTGCCACTTAAACGTTTTTACAACCGATTTTCTAGCGTTTTCTGATGGTGAATATATGCCATGGTGTAACCGATCGAAATCTTAACGCAGTGCTCGTTCATCTGTCCATTTGTCGTGCACCTCCTCAACGCATTCACAGCGAAATTCTGGATCCGATTCTTGAGATCCATGTTGTCAATCTGATCCAATCGCTTGTCCACCTTGTGCATTAGGGCATAGGCCTGGGGAAAGTGACCCACATCGCAAGGCCAGTTGGAGGAGTGCGGATGGGTCTCGGTTAAAGTTGCAGTCGGCCATACCGAGTAGTCCTCATCAGATTCACGAAGAGTACTGGCCTGGACCAAGGCCAGGGCGGAGATAAGTAAAATCACCAGGAAAGTTTTCATTTCAACGACTATTGTAGAACTGTGGCTGTTCGCTATATGCCAACCCTTTTTATAGGGCTGCCATCTGATAATCGAATGGAAATATTATGGGTAAAAGGGCTTTGTCCTCACAATGTTGCTGGTTAGACACGAGCTTCTCAATTATAAGCAGGGTCAAGGTTAAAGCACTGATTAGCAGATGGCGGTATTAATTTATTAATTAGTATAAACTGCTAGCTATGGCAAATGAATCATTATTTACAAAAAATATACACACTTAAAGATTGCTTATTTTGTGGTCTATATTAATTAATGTATAGGGCAACTTTCTGAGAGTATCAAAATATGTAAAACAAGATAAATCACTGCTTCTTCCTACGGATCTCATTGGTTATCCAGTTAACAACGCCCTGTCGCATATGAAGTAAATAAAAAGGTTTAATAAAATACAGAGCAACACCCACCTGAACACCTAAGCCTGTCTGCGTTGAACATTCTTTGATGGCCCAAACCCGACCATCTAAGCGATCCAGGCCCATCAAATCGATCACTGTGGATAATGGCAGAGATCCCGAAGAGTCCGTTTTGTTGGACACTATGAGCAGAGGAGCCCTATTAAGTTCTTGATGCATCAGAACATCGCATAATACACATCGAGCCTCGCTTAGACGCACTGCATCCTTGCTGTCCAATACAAAAACCTAGGGTGCTGGGATTAAAGACAAATCTTGCACTTCCTAGATACTATTCTCACCAAGACTTTTGCTTTCTTGTAGTAATTCGGCCAGATTTGTCTGTTCTTCAGTTCCCCGTTAATATCCCACAACTTCACTTTGTAGTTACCGATTGTTAAGCTCCATTCACTGGCCTGCTTGTTCGATTCTTTAGGCTGTAATCAGTTTAGGTTAAGTTTGGCATAAGGGAAAAGTTCTGTCTTCTATGTAGTCTTACAACGCCATTAAAAAATCCCGCTAGGTGCGCTGTCAAGGTGGATTTTCCAGCATTATCTAATCCCAAGATCAGCAGACAGCTTTTCTGTGATCCTGCGGGCAGGACCTTTTTTATGATCGAAACGGGTCCGTAAAAGCACATGGGTATGAGAATATTGGGTCTTTTTGCAAAGCTGTCTTCAGTAGTTATATTGAGTTTTCAGGTGGAAATAAAAGAGTTACAAATCGCTGCCTTCTTAGATTTTGGAATTTAGTCAATTTTTGTTTTTTATAAACGAATGAAGTACATTATTTATAATGGTTGGTCTTAAGAAACCAATTTTTAAGTTTCTTAAAAATCTTTGAAAGCTTCGACCATCAAATTTATTTGTAACTTATTAAAAATAATAAAAATATTCTGTGGATTTGAGATATATGTATAATGAAAAATCATAGATTTAAATATTCTTTCGTATTGAAGTGAAGCTAATAGTAGGTACGTATATTTATGATTTTGATCTTAGGAAAAACTTAACAGGCGAAGATTACGACTCTTTAGATTACTTCTTCATGTTCTTGCAGACCCAGTCCATTCCCTCCTTGAGGCCAGTTCCATCCACAGCAGTGCAGGCCTTGATCTCCCAGGTTCTCCCCTGCAGTTGTACCAAACTCATCTTCTCAGCAACCTCGGAGGCCGTCATGGCATCCGGCATATCCTGTTTGTTGGCGAAGATCAGCACGGGAACCTGTTTTAGCCGGTTGTCCATGAGCATCTCGAACAGTTCGCTACCCGCTTCCGGCAATCGGGACCTATCCGTACAGTCAATTACATAGATCTAAAAAATAAAATAATTATTATAATAGCTAAAAACTAGTAAAACCCATCATTGTCTCACCAGCACATCAGTATTAGCAAAGTAGTTCTTCCAATATGGTCGTATCTTCCATTGGCCCCCGATGTCCCAAACATTTAGCTTAAAACCATCGGCTGCCACGGACTTGATGTTGAATCCGGCCGTGGGCGTTACCTGCGGGATTTCACTCCGTATTTTATGGGGAAAGCGGAAGAAGTTCGCCGCCTTTATACGCACCGTGGTTATGTCCTCCGAGGCCAGTTGCTTCAGTATCGTAGTCTTGCCCGCATTATCCAGGCCCAGGAGCAGGATTCGAGCCTCCTTCTCCGGATTGGGTCTCAGTTTACGCAGCAGCGATAGCAGACCCTAAAATATTTTAAGTATTAACTTATGTGTTATGAAATATTTGGAAAAAAGGGTCCAGAACCTTACTTCCTGGTAATGACTTCTTCTAAAAGTCTAGTCCCGATAGTAACCTCTGAAACTTTGAAATAAGGAACCCAATTTCGAGATTATTAAAAATTCTTTAAAAAATCTAAACTTTGATTTAAATTAAAAAGTTAAACATTTTTTTCGCAATTTCTGTTTTTTATAAATGTTTTTTGTTTATTTTATATAGAAATAAAAAAAACTTGAATGAAAAGGTGGCCCTTAGAGATAGATGGGAGGTATATAAGGTATTTACCTTATCAATTTGTGCTTTATACACAAATATATTGTTTGAATTAAGATAAGTACGTACAACAAAAGCAAAATTAAATGTGATTGCCTGTTGATATTGCAATCAGCTAAGGTAAAAGCTGTAAGTTACATTAGGTATGTAGGGATTGTAAATAAATAAAGCCGAGCAAAGTTGTGAATATAATAACTTAGCAAGAGTGTTATTAGACTTACTAACATTTTTTAATCCTTTCTTAATTACCGAATTTAAAGCGGATTTTATAACCGGTGTTTTTTCAGGGTGGAATATAAGTTTTATTCCCACACATTTTAAGTTTATTATTGAGACTATTTTAGCAAACCATTTCCTTAGAGATTACAAAATAAAACTTTTTCAATCTTTATCACAGCTCCCCACTATTTGAATACCGATAAGTGCGCGCCAAAACTTTAGGGTAGTGCTGAAAAAGTTCCGTTCAGCATGCCCAAATAGTGTTGGAAAGTTTTGGAGGCTGGTTTCCATGGAGACGATCGCAAAATGAAAACAAATCGTGGGATTGCGGAATAACAGGCACTTAATTAGCTGTTACGGAACCGGGAGATAACCTACCATCCTATAATCAACGAGGGAACGGTGGCCAGAGGGCGGGACACGATCTCCGACGTCACTATATCTCTGATCCCAAAGTTCCGGTGATCCGCAGAGTGCCCTACGACGGTGTCTTTTGGAGGTAAAGTCAGGAAAGTTCGGGAATTGGATCGCCTTCAACTTTCAACCACCAAACACAACATCACAGTTTCAGCGCTGCACAACAACTAAAAACAAAATTCGCTCAACGCTCCAACAAATTCCGGCAGCAACAACACTACGTCGCCGAGCAACCGCTGCCCCGCTGCAAAGGAGCGAAAGAGAGGGGCGCAGGCGGCGGAGGGTGGGGGAGCGGCATCGGAATCGGAATTGTAACGGGAACGGGAAGAAGATGCCCCTGCTTTTTACGGGCTTCAACGCATTTGGCCAGCATGAATGTGTGAGCGGAGACGTCGACTGCGCAGCCGGCTTCAGCGGTTTGTAACCGGGCAACAAAGCCGACGATCACTTATGTAGTTCCTACAGTGGGAACCCCTTAGTTGGGCCAACATTTCTGTAGAACTTCGAACATTTATCTGAAACACAGAAAACCCCCATTATAGTACCCCTTTTCAATTTTCATTGGTACCCATAGGATATCTTCGCATGATCTTTAAATCTACAAACCTCAGCCTTGAACCTCATGTTTAAAAATATATTTTGAAAATGTTATAACTTCTGCAAAAAAGTTCCACTAAAATTATAATTTTGAATATTCCATTATAATGTAATATTATGTTTAGTTAAATTTAAACTAACCAAACAATATTTCAATACTTTTCATACATACAAACAAAACATTTCAAAAATTTAAACCCACGAATTTTGTTTAGCAATAGGATTGTAACAAGATGCTTAACCCAAAGTTTAGGTTTGTGTATAGAAGTGAGACTGTATTTTAATTTTGTATTGATAAAGTTGTAAGCAAAAGCCTACGACATTTTTAATTAACTTAAGCACAGCATATCACTATATGTTATACATATATAGTATGTACTATAGACGACTGATTCAAATTTGAAATGCCTATGCCTTAGAATATAATTGAGAACTGAATAGAGCATACTTTTAGAAGAAAGGTAGAAAAATTACTCTCTTTTACTGAGATTCCACCGTACGAATACTAATTCAGTCCTGCCTTTACTACAGAAATTAATGCGCCAGTCTCGACCCAGAACCAGTGCACGATTTCGATCGGCTGGCGGTATGCGGCCCTCGCTCTTGGCCGGAAGTTGTGGCTGCGTGGGCTTTTGGATGATGGCCCAAATGAGTGCGTGACCCTCGAGGCAACGGGGGACATTAAGGCCCTGGCCGCTGGCGATTCCCACTGCCTGGTGCTACTCCATAGCGGTCAACTTTACAGAGTGCAACCCAAACTGCAAGCGGAACTATTGGTTGTCAGACTAGAAGCTCCACCCCAAACCAATCAGGGAACAAAGCGATCTATCTTTGGGGTTCCGAAGGCGCCTCAGTCGCCGATTATAGAGCATATTGCCTGTGGATCGCATATAAACGTAGCGATTAGCTCGGAAAACTCCGTGTACAGCATTCCTAGCTGCCTGCACCAGTTTTCCGAGCGACAATTTCGAGTGAAGCAGCTCCAATGTGGCCATGAACACGCCGTACTCCTCAATGTCAACGGTGACGTGTTCACCTGGGGAAACGGACTGTAAGTAAGGGCCATGAATGCACTTGGCTGTACAAAAGTTCCTATGCAGAAAGGGCTGTTACTTTTACCGGATGTTTTTGAAAAACAGGGGGAACTTTAAAAGCGAATAGTACTACATACCTTATGTAATATTCTTCGTGATTTAAATATTTTTTTGCAAGATTTGCTATCTTTATAGTCCCCTATGCTATCTATTACTTATTATTTAGGAATACTCTTTAAACTACTATTCCAATTCCAACTTGTATTCGATTTTTTGTAAGGGCATACACATTTTCATAGCCCAAATCTTTCAAGATTCTTATTCTAATTTCTAACGATTTCTGCACACTTGTGTCATATTTAACAGGCGCGGACAGTTGGGTCAGGCCGTACTGAAAGTGGAGGAGACGCCGCAATTGCTGGAGGCGCTGGCGGGGATCAAGGTATATATTTGTCTTGTCCACTTATCTTGGCAGTCATACGATTCAAGTGTCTTGCAGATAACTCAAATTGCTGCCGGTGGTTGGCACAGTGCGGCCATATCCGCCTTCGGAGACCTCTACACCTGGGGCCTCAACTGCAGCGGCCAGCTGGGAATGCGTGTGATGAAACCCGGTGGCTTCCTAAAAGAGCCCACTGTTTATCCGCTGCCCCAGTTGCAAGATCTGCCCGAATGTGGTTGCTCCCAAGGGGCGGAGAGCAGCGATGACTGTGCACCGCTGAGGGTGTTCGCTGGATCTCGTCACACTCTACTGATCCGCCGGTGCGGGCGGCCATGGGCCAGTGGTTGGTGCAAGCACGGTCAGCTGGGCAAGCAGCTCCAAAACCTGTCTTACGTGGACGCATTTCAGGCCCTGGATGGAATCATCATGAACACTACTTCCGATGATGTCTTCTGCGGTCCTTGGTCCACGCTGCTTTATTTAAAGGGATGAGGAGATTATGAACACTCGTCTCGTAAAGGGGGCTGTGAATCCCATTTTTTTACTTAAGCATCTTTTTAATTAAACAAGTTAAAAAGGTAAGTTTTATATTAAAACCAAAAACATTTTATGTTTTACTATCAATTGCCGCCCATGGGCGTTATCGCACTTTTTGGAGTGAAATGTACGCGGTGTTGAAACGTTTTGAAAGCTTTTAGTTGCTACCATAGCAGAGACATCGACCATTTTACAATACATTTTGTGAGCTAGTGCTCTCATGGATGTAAAGTCAAGTATAATTGACTGCAAAGTTTTGAAACTGATAAAAATTTAAACTGATTTGGTATTCTATCTTTTGTATCACTTGCTCAAAATAATTTATACAATTTTTCTTAAGGTAGTAAAACCAAAAAAAAATTTATTTTAAAAAAAGGATAGAAAATTTAAATTTTGGTAACTTCTTTGGTTAATAGTTTGAGTCCGACCACAACAAGTGATATGTTCTCGGAAAGGTACATCTATCTTCTTTCAGATTATGTCAAGATATATATGTTAGACAATTGAATTCTGTGATATTAGCTCTTTAATCAAGCAACATAAAAAAAATTTTTTTTCGCAAATATTTCAAGAACGATTACTTGGAAAATTTTTGATTGATTTTTGTAAACTACTGTTATTGAATCGGTTTTATCGGTTCCGTTTACGAACTGGGTTTTATTCCCTTATGGATTGCGTGCATACTTTTTTTTGACAGCTAAGAGTCACTTAAGTTGAACAAAATTACTGAACCCAAGGACAGGTTGAATCTTCGGAAAAGTCTCGATCATGCCGTAAGTTGAGAATGTGGCACAATCCAATCTCTGGCAAGTAACTCCCAACTCCTTCGCTTCCAGCCCCAGCGTGTTCTGCATCCTAATCTGGCGCCTAGCCGTGCAATTTCTATATCCTTACGGATACATGGGCTGTTCGCTGCAGGAGGCGTTGGACAATGAGCACCTGATTTGGAGCAAGGGGGATCGCTTGGAGGCGCAGATGACGATGCTGATGAGGGACTCCTTGCGGACCACACTCATGCTCGTGATAGTGATGGAGATGATGTCCTCGGTGAACGAGGCCTTGAATATTCGCCTTCCGATGGTCTTGGCCATCAGACTTTAGTCTCGGGGCCTGAACTCTGGCCCTGTTTATTGCTCTCCCGCCATCGGTTTATATGGGCCCCATCAAAACAACAGAGCTCAAATAATTTCGTCTTGGGGTAGGACCGCCATTGTGCCAACGTTCGTTCGTCGACGTCGGCCGTCGTCGCTGCCCATTTAATCAGTAAATTGTATTTTTAAAAATGTTATTAAACAATATTTGCCTTAGCAAAAGTGAGACGCTCGCAGTGCAATAAACTTTTCAGCACTTGAGCCGTTCGCTCGACCGACTGAATGACTGACTGATTGACTGGATGACTGAACGACCGACTGATTGACCGAACGAATGACTGACGTTGGGATTTTTTCTTTGTTTTGACTTTAACTCGACGGAAACTCGTGATTATTTCGATTTCGTGGAAGTGCGTTCTACGCGAAGGTTTCGATAGGAATTTTATGCGTGGTATATGGGCTATAATAGTTCTGATAACTGTTCTATTGATTCGACTGCGAAATGCTTCTATTGATTACTTAATCCCTCCTCATTTGGAATTTTTTCTGAATTTACTATTACTTCTGCGAAGTTATAAGCTGATTAGGAAATGTAGAAGTAATGTAACATTATATATGCACATTTTCTGTTCAGATTTTCTTTTATATAATCCTTTTATTTTTGTTATCCTTAGAACAACATTTATTCGAACCAAGAAAATGGTTTTTAATATTTAATAAAATCGGGTCGCCCAAGTATATTATTTTCCCCCTAGGTTTTCTAACTTTTCTTAACACTAAGTTCGATTTATTGTAGCGCCTTTAATGGTCTCCTCTGTCTCACACTTTATTAATGCCTATATCTGCGTTCACGATCCCATAAGCGAATTTTCCGCTATATAGTCTGCGAGCGAGTTCAACGCTTTTATGTTATTTGCCAAATGAAAAAGTAAAAACAAATGTTTATCTTATAATGCACTGGGTGGCAGTTCAGTGGAGTTCTGGCGACTCGCACACATGGTGCGTAAATAGGCTTTGCTTTTGGGCTTTACTTTTTCATTTTATGACCGTTTTTTTTCGAGTTGGCAAACTTTGTTATCGTCAAAAAAAGAAACTCCCGGCGGAATACGAAGGGGGGGCTTGTCACTTTTAGGTCGTGAAACTATTTGCAGCTAGAAATTGCCACCGCACGGTGACTAAGAGAAAGAGAGGGCCAGATGTGTCCAGAAAGAGAGGGCCAGATCGCCGGGGAGTTCAAGCGCCTCGCTCAAGGCAATTGCTGTCTGCAGCTTATCAGGGCAACTGGAACCACTCGAAGCAGCAAGTACGAAAAAGTGCTAATTGTAAACCCCCCTTTTCAAAGGGGTTTTCTTTTCGTTACTCGAAAATTATAATTCATGCGTGCCAGCAGACGCCAAAGTTTCAACAGAACTCAGTCAATCATAACCAAAAAAAAAAACGAAAAAAGAAATAGGTGCCCAAGAACACTCCTCTTCGGCCTGGGAGTTGTCTGCACCTTCGGTTTGGGGAGTGTTTATGTTTGCCTCTGTCCAAGGGGAGATCCCTCCAAGTGCGTGCCACTCCGCATGCAACGCTGAGCAAGTGGCCACCAGTAGCCGATTCGGAGTCAGATCCATGTCCATGTCCAGAAGCCGAACCATCAACACCCGCCTCAATAAAAGTACAGGTAGCACTCGGAAGTTGCTCAGTACTTTAAGGGGAAAGAACGTTGAATTAAATTATTTTTTAGGAGGTGAAAAAAAATTTTGATCGCTTTCTATTCGGAATTAACTACAAGGCAATAATATCCAGTTGGTAAAACTTAAAGTGATCCAAAATCACCCAATTTCATATACATATGTAGGATTTTAACTTTTGTTAAAATTACCATGTCCATGACCTGTCCAAAACAAACTTTTTGGTATTTTTATACTAAAGTTAAATCAATAAAAATAATAATAATTTCACTTTTGAGCACTTCTTAACTTTTTGTAAATCATATTGTATTTATACAGAACTGAAAATAAATTGTATTCAAAACTTAAAAAAATTTTATGTTTTAAACTATGGAATTTTAAAATATTCCATCTTGTCTTGTTTAATATAATATAATTTTCTTTCTATGGTATTTTTTATTATTTAAATATTAAAATTCATATTTTTTAATCACCGAATTTTTACTGTACTCTCATAGGCCTTTTTTGTGAGCTGTGCGCGAAACCAACATGGCTTGGCCCATTTCCATACCTATCCACACTCGCACTCCCACTTCCTGACCTACCTTGGCTTTCTTGGCCTGGCCAACACATGTTAGCCCGACTGCACTATCTGTTTGCCCACCGCCTATTTGCTTTTGGGCGTACATTGAACCGCAGGAGGCCAGAACTCGGCGCCACCCTCAACTAATCATCACTTTGTTGCTGCGTTAATGACTCGCCTTGGATTCGCCAACTCCCAACTCCCTGTGGAGTTTTCCATTTAACTGAATGCACCAAAAAAAAGCAAAAAAACATATAGGGAAAAGGAAGTCGTGTTGGAGAGCGTGTTCCCAAAACGTTTTGGCATCCCAAATGGATGTCGGGGCTGCGGCACCTCCCCTATCACTCAAAGTGCCATAAAAATTATGCATGAATGTATTTGCTTCATTTCTGCCCTTTTTTTTGTGTTTACTTTACTTTCTAGCCAAATATAAAAGTGCCGCACCCCCCGAAAAAAAGTAAAAACCTAAAAAAAAAAGGGGAGTACGAAAATGAAACGAATGCAGAAGCGTCGCATTTTTACGGCTCCATTCATGTGACGACGGAAGTGTCAAGTGGCTGTTGGCAACTCGTCGTCGACGAGCAAAACTTCCCAAACCCCTCCATAAAAAAAAGAACCATATCCCAAAACCCACCCACTTTTCCATGGGCGTCCTTTTCGTCAACGTCGCCTCTGTGCATCGAAAATGCCGTTATTGTTGCCGGTTGTCTACATGCTCTATGCTCCCATGTACATCACATCACACGGGATCCCCCCTGGTACCCCCTATATCATTTTTTGTGTTTTTTTTTCAGCTCCTCCAAAACCTTTCCACAAATGTCTACTACGTGTGCCCAAGTTGCATTGCCGCTCTCTCTTTCACACCCGCTATCCCCGTCTCTTTCGCCACTGACGTCTGTCGTCGAGTGGGCAAACTTTTTAGCGTATGAATGTGCATGTTTCGTTTTTCACCATTATTTTTTTTCTCACATTTTTTCTCCATTTTTGCCATTTTTTTGTGTGTACTTTGCTTCATTTTTCTATGCCCTTCATTTAGCCGGCTTTGTTCTTTTTGGGGTACAGTTGTGCTCTTAGGGTTAAGTAGCCCCTGACTCGTACGAGTAAGTAGCTGCGGATGCCAGATCCAAAAGTTGACGTTGGTTTCTTTTGAAATAGGCAGTTTGATTGTTCCTAAGACTTCTGTCTAAGGGTTCGGGAACTAAGAAAGAATTCTTGTAAAACGTAGTATTTGGATTGTATGATTTTAAAACCATGATGTCACAATGTTACCTTATTATGTATATCATCTTTATTATCGATTTTGTCTACAAAGATGTCCTTTTGAAAACATATTTTTTGAAGGAAAGATATCTTTTTCGAGAAATGTTATGCACAAAAAGAGTATCGATGGTTTTAAACCCCGTTAGCGAGTCCACCGTCAAAAATCTGGTATTGATAATTGATTTGAAATTTTGGTATAATTTAAAAACCATAATATTTTAGTGAAAAACCAATTCAATTTGGTTATAAATATTTATAATGTGAAGCAATAAGATCATCGATCCATTAAGTTTAATTTAACACATTGACCACATAATGATAAGGTACTTCTAATCTTTTTGTTATAATGGTTTCTTATCATTTTCTGGAAATACTCGTCTTATTTAAAAAACTATTTCCCTTCCTCCAATTTTCTCTAATTCTTAGAAAACAAACATAATACTTTCTGAAAATTCCTTCAAACAATGCTATCGTTGCAATAACGCAGAATTCTTATCGCGAAAAATGTTCACGATTATTGGTTTAATTCCATTACGCACAACTGCCAGGGAATGTAATGCCAGAAGAAAAAACCCAACAAAACTTCCCAGATAGTCACTGCAATTAATGACATTTAACTATCAACCCTTGACCCGCCGCCCAGGAACAGAACTCCATGTTTTGGCACCCACTCTTCGTGAAAATTCCATGACAGCTGTCTAATTTGTCGCCGTAATTTGCGTTGACAAGTTGATTGTCCCGTTCATGGCAGCCACTCCCTAATTGCAGTTAGAGCCACTTACATAACCAGCAATGATAGACCCGATTACATGATTACACTGCCTGGGTAGTAGTGGCACTCGAATGGGACCTGGACCCACAGAGTCCCGGCCGAAATCCATGCGGCTTTCGCTTTCGATGCTTGTTTTCTGGCCTAGCGCATCCTCTGGCTGTTGGCCATTTGCATTGCACTCCGTCTGCCGGTCTAATGAAATTCTGTGTTGCCACTTTTCGACCTTCACTGTGTGGGGAAGACCCCTTCCTCCTTCCTTCCTTCCTCCTCCCTCCAAACCCCCCTTCTGGCTGCAGTTTTTGGCCAAACAAAACGCCCAAAACGGCGTCCATTCGTGGCCATGGCCGTGGCCTTTCCTGTCCCACTCCGTCTGGCCCGGCTCGCATGCCCCTCGGTTGTTATTTTTGGCATCAGCAGCATCAGCATGGTAACGAAACGAAACGTGCCGCCTGCCAGACTGCATTTCCCGGCTCTGGCCGCGTGCCACCAGCTGCCTGTTGCCTGTTGGCGGTGCACTGGAAAAAATATAGGTTGTATGCAAGAAATTGTATCTAAAAAGGAAATTCGGAAGATTTTTTTTCTGGAATAAAATGCTGTCTAAACTTATAGATCATTTGGAAACATAGCCGTTTTAATAACAACTCCATAGACAAAAAAAAAAAATCTTTGGTCATTAAATTGTAGGTTTTATATCTTAAAAAAAAACTTTTACTGAAAGATGGATTTGTACTTTTTTGAATGTTTCAATCAATGATAAATCTTGCTGCCTTAATAAATTCTAAGCAATCTTCGTATTTGTTGTACAACATAATACTTATTAAAGTAAATGTAAAAATATAAGAACTGAAATTTTTTTTTTTGAATTTAATTCTTTTTTATACACCGGAACTATTTATTTTCAATCTAAACTACGTTTAGAAATTGTAGATCAATACAAAATACTTATTTATTTATTTACAATCTGAATTATGTTTTGAAAAATTGTAAAAATATTATACAGCAACTTTTCTCGCTGTGCACTTATATCTGTGGCATTGGGGCGATGCCGGGCACTAGAGTTGGACTCGGATTTGTGTGGCACTGCATCCTCTGGCGGTGGCGATGGTGGCCATGGTGGCGTGGCGGTGATGCTGGCGGTGCGGTGGTGGCATTGACATTGGCGGCGAAAGTGTGGCACCAGAGGCAGGCACACTTTGCAACGGTTGTATTTTTGGCTTGTTGCATGCCGCCATGCCACCATGCCATTCGAATGCCACACTGCGTATACGTAATGCGAGTGGTCTATTTTCGCGTGAGTTTTAAATCCAATGATTCCATTGAAAGAGCATGAATGGAGATTACGGCATTATGTTTAAGTTGAATCCTCCATGTCGCGTTGAAAAGTTTCAAAGAGTTCTTCAAGTCGAACCGAATGTGCTTAGAACTTGGCGACTTGTGCCATTTCAACTCAACCACTCCACAACTTTACGCTTGAAGTTGTCTTCGCCCTCGTATGCGAATCCATTCCACATTTTTAATCTCACCCTCCTTACGATAATATGCACAATTTTTTCCAATGTCTGGCCAAAAACCGTCCACATGGCTGTCTTGTCTAGTTTTTCGCTTATTTTTTCGTTTTTCCGTCTGTCTTTCGGCTTACTTCCCCGAACCCAAGCCAAGCATTCGATTTACATGCTTCGATACTTTGCGATTCTCCAACTCCGTCTAGCAACTTCATCTCGCCTGGCGTATGGGTATTTTTCTGCTGGTCTTCCCTATTTCATTTTTTTTCTTTGCCCTCTGCTTTTTGCTCGTTTGCATATTAAAATTTCATATATGAATTTTTGCTTTATTAATATATCTTGCAGTTATTTTCGTTGGTTGGCTACGGGTTAGTTGGGTTCTTGCTCCATTTGCCCCATCAAACTGCATGCTGAAATTAAATTTCATTTGTGTCTTCACAGCTTAGTGTGCTGCATACATATATCTATGCGGAAGAGGATGGTGAGAGAGGAGCATTGCGGTTCTGGGTTTTGCATCTGGCCATGGATGGGGATCTGGATCTGGGGATCCGGGGCTTAGCCAGCGCGAATTATTGAATTATTTCGCCAGCAGCTGGTAAATTCGATTTGCTCGCTGGCTGCCATATCACTTGCAGCATATGTATTCCGGATCTGAGTATCTTCCCCAGCATTCGTATCTACGTATCTACGTATCTCCGTATCTGGGTATACCATGTACATGCTTACATATTCCCATCAACGTTCGGAGTTCAACTAATTTGTTTTTACTTCATTGCATCGACTGAGCGTCGATGACGACGGCGACGTCATTGAAAATTAGACAAATTGGAAGAGTCAAAAAGGCAAAAAATATAAAAATAATGTGTGAGGGGAAATCATCCATTCCATAAACACCAGAAAGTATCTGTGTCTGTGAAGAAGTTGGCGAGCCAAACCCATACAGCCGCACAATCAATTTGCACACACCAATACCGCGATGGCATACCATTTAAGTAGCAAACATCGCGCCCCCAAATGTGATGGCAGTAGGGGTATTCCATTTGCCCAAATGTGACGTTTATTATGCTCATAAATTTGGGTTTATGATGCGTATTATTTGCTTATTTGCAGAAGTTA